TGGAGAGGCGGCAGGGAGATCAGAACTCTTATGCACTGCTGGTGGGAATGCAAAATGATAGTTTTGGAAAACAATATGGCGTTTCCTTAGAAAGCTAGAAATAGAAATACCATATAATCCAGCAATCCCATTCCTAGGAATATATCCTAGAGAAATAAGAGCCATCACACGAATAGACAGATGCACACCCATGTTCACAATAGCAAAAAGACAGAAACAACCTAGAAGCCCATCAACAGATGAAGGAATAAACAAACTATGGTACACACACAAGGGAGTACTACGTAATGATAAAGAACAATGATGAATCTATGAAGCATCTCATAACATGGATGAATCTGGAGGGCATTATGCTGACTGAAATAAGTTAATCACAAAAGGACAAATATTGTATGAGACCACTACCATAAAAACTCAGGAAAAGGTTTACACACAAAGAGAAACAATCGTTGATCGTTATGAGGGAGGGACACTAAATAGACAATAGATAAGTGGTAACTTTGGTGAAGAATAAGACAGTACACAATACTGAGGAAGCCAGCACAACCGGTACAAGGCAAGGTCATGGAAGTTTCATAGACATATCCAAACTCCCTGAGGACCAAATTGCTGGGCTGAGGGCTATGGGGATCATGGTCTTGGGGAACATCTAGTTCAATTGGCACATCACAGTTTATACAGAAAATGTTCTACATTCTACCTTGGTGAGTAGCGTCTGGGGTCTTAAAAGCCTGTGAGCAGCCATCTAAGACACCGCACTGGTCTCACCCGTTCGGGAGCAAGGGAGAATGAAGAAAACAAGAAACAAGGGAAAGATTGGTCCAAAGGGCTAATGGACCACAACTACCACGGCCCCCACCAGACTGAGTCCAGTACAACAAGATGGTGCCCCGCTACCACCACTGACTGCTCTGACAGGGATCACAACAGAGGGTCCCGGACAGAGCTGGAGAAATATATAGAACAAAATTCTAACTCACAAAAAAAGAGCAGACTTACTGGCCTGACAAAGACTGGAGAAACCCCGAGAGTATGGCCCCCAGACATCCTTTTAGCTCAGTAATGAAGTCACTCCCAAGGTTCACCCTTCAGCCAAAGATTAGACAGGCCCATAAAACAAAACAAGACTAATGAGACACAATAGCCCAGGGACAAGGACTAGAAGGCAAGAGGGGACAGGAAAGCTGGTAATAGTGAACCCGAGGTTGAGAAGCCAAAGTGTTGACATGTCGTGGGGTTGTTAACAGATGTCATAAAACAATATGTGTACTGTTTAACCAGAAACTATTTGTTCTGTTAATTTTCACCTAAAGTACGATAAAAATTTTTTTTTTTTTTTTTAAAAGGAAAATATTTGAACATTTCCTGTGTGTTTGTGTGTGTGAGAGAAAGAGACAGAGCTGGGATTATGAATTTGGAGTGACAGACTAGCCTAAATACTCTCTAAATACAATATTGCAAAACAATTTAGCTGGAAAACTGGACACTTGTGATGACACAGGCAGCTGGGAGGGACCAGGGAGTGTACTGGCAGCATATGAGTCACCACATAAGTAAATAAAAATTCCTCAGTCTTTCCTGCTGAGATTTAGGACACCCGAAATCTCTATATTAAAGATACCTTTCAGAAATCCCCATTAACTACAGGGAAATTTTATGAATAATTCAGCTAGTTATCAATATACCGTCTAGGTTTTACTAATACTTTATTTCACTGGAAGACACAAACACAAAATACAGGAAATAATTGCACCCTAAAATGAAGGCACTTAGATTGGATTGAAATGTACGCAATTTAAAAATTTCATGAAAGCAAAACTCCCTCAAATTTTACGAATATGTGATAGTGTGAACACTGAACTTTTGTATTAGTTTTAGTAGATCAAAATTTTAAGAGATTATAGCCCTTTTTTTTTTTTAAAGGTTAATAAAATGCTAAAGCAGTTTGCTTGTTCCTCAACAAATTGCTGCTCTATTAAAACGAAATCACACCATAACCGTTCTCTTACTAATAAACATTTTATTTCATAGCCCCCGATAATCACCTACAAAAAATAAAATTACCAAACGTCATGATTTTCTTTTCCAAAATTACAGGAACAAATTACTGAACACTTGAGCTGCTCTTTTCTAGGAAGGGTATTAAACCAAAACCAAATCCGATTCGGAATCATAGCGACCCTGTCGGACACAGTCGAACTGCCCCTCAGGGTTTCCAAGACTAATCTTTACAAAAGTAGACTGCCGCATCTTTCTCCCGCCCATTGGCGGCTGGTGGGTTTGAACATCTACCCATCCCCACCTTAGGGTTAGCAGCCAAACAAACGCTTAACCACTGCGCCAGGGTATACAGCCCACAAAACCACAGCAGTCATCCACTGATACTGATAACAGGAGAACGCCCCCAAGTGCCCCCAAAACTCGAGTCCTCCGTGGTTCCATCAGTCCTGCCATCACCAGAATACAAGGCCAAGTCACGAGAGCTGGTTGAACTCCCCGAGGCTCAGGAAAGGTCTCACAAGCTAGCACGTCCCCTGAACAGGTGAAGATAATGAGCAAACAACCGCCTGGTCCTCACCTCTACCTTTCTTCCTAGAAGCGGACTGGGGGCTTTCATGAGACGCCCCCACCCGGAACCGGAAAAGTGAGCATCTTCCCCAAGCCCCCAGCCGGAAGTGGAGCCGAGCCCGTCGGTGCACTCACCCTGGAAGAATAGAGCGCCCAACAGTGGGAAGAGAGCGCGGCTACGGCTTCCAGCTGCTCCGCTCAGCTGCATCGCGACAGCTCCCCAGATGCTTGCACACCTTGTTTACGGCTCGGGGTAAAGACACAGGTAACAACGGAAGTGACGTAAGGGCGGGAGGCAGCGAGAATACTTAAAATGGAGCCATGAAGTTGCCATAGGAACATGGCTTCTTTCCAGAACCACACCTGGGCTTGCTCACTGACCAGTGATTCTTTAATTTTCAAGTAGGAGTCAGGTGCTCTGTTTTGCTTGACAACGGAGTCAGCTAGACTTTTTGGAAATTTTACAACAGTCACTTGAGGAGTGCTCAATTTATTTTTATGGAATTCCGAAGGATTTAATAGTGTTGATCTGACTATTCCAGAAATTCTTTTACTCCTACAAATTATTGGAGTTGAATGCTCTCAGAATAAATTCCTATAAATTTGGAGCTCGAAGAGACCTAGGCGATCATACAGGATCAGTCAGTCAAAAGATTCATAGGTACTAGGCTTTCGTGACAAATATGTGATTCGGTCTCTCGTTCTTTTGAGCGTAGCTATTTAGAGCATCCAGCTCAGTACCTCCCTGCATTAGGTATTTATTAAATTGCTATTGACACTGGGAATGATGATCAAATTATAGCAGCGTGTATTAAACTTAAAAGGAACTGAGATTTGTGTATGCTTTTGGTTGGAAAAGTAAAGAAGTTGTGTTATAGTGCTTGAAGAGAGACAGAGTCACATCCTTCTGAAAAAGAGGTGAGATGGTATCCTGCTTTTATCATTAGCATATTCTTGAGGAATCACCATATGTTTAAAGAAAGCAGAAAGAAGACAGAAATATGCTTCAGATTTAATGAACTTTCCATTTTTCAGCCCCCATCCCTTTTCTAGAGACTTTGAAAGCTGGTAGATGTCTCTATTAAGATGGTAATGTAAGCGTACCAACTGGAACAGATGACACTATTCCTTCAAAAAGGATCCCCCAAACTAATTAATGTTGATATGCTCAATTCTCAGCTATCCAAAGCAATGTGAAAATTCTGTAGAAATCCACATAGGTTTATTTTATTTATCCAGTAGAAGCTAATTCTATCCATTATTGACTTCCAGGCAGTCTCTATTAAGAAAACTTCAGTGAAGATAAAATATATACACATCTGTTTTCTGTTACCTGATATGTAAAATTTTTACATTTGTATATAAGCAAATTATATAGTTGATAACTTTATTACTAAAAGTTTATTTACATGAGTATTTGAGACATAATAAAAAAATAAATTACAATACAAAAGTGTACTTTAGGAACAAGACACTGAATAATGGAGCCATATTACACCTTGAGTATTCAGCCAAGACACAAGCTACAAATTTTGCTGGAAAGACTTGCCATGAGTTTTTAACTACTTCTTTGTTACATTTAGAGAACATCATCTTGATTGTTTGAAGAAATATCCAGTGACTGCATTTTCAAGAGTTGAATTATGACTAAAAATGTAAAATGTGGATTAAAGGAATATAGATTTCAAATCTAATTTTTAGTTTCAAAACTAGGTAGTGAAACATTACCTTTTAGATAATATGAAAGGCAAAATGAAAGGTGTTGAATGAATTTCAGAGTCAAGAACAAAAAAAATTATTAGAAAAAATATCAAGATTCAGCATCTTTAAATGCAGTTAACCTATCTGAAAGTTCCAGTTTGTTAAAAGAAATCTGCAGCCCAATCAGTGAAAACTGAAAACATCAGGCTATAAAGACTTCTCTTGAGCCTAAACTTTTGGATGTTTTCTGTACCTTGAACAAATGCTGCTGTAGCTTAAGTTTGGAAAAACACTGGGAAATGACACTGTTTAAAAGGCACTCTTCTTTCCATAGACCATTTATAAAGTTTGCTTTATCTACTAGTGCAAGGGGAAGAAGAGAATCATAAAGTTGGTTTCATTCATTTAAAGTAGTTTTGGCATTTCTTTGTCCCATACCAAATCCTCCCTCCTACAAAATAATGAAGTGAATTAAAACAAAAAATAAAGAAAAAATTTAAATAATCTCTTCCAGTTCTCAAGAGTTGTGTCGAATACTATACAAAATTATCATTTAGGATGGATTTTTCTTTTTCACCAGCCTTAAGTTTTCAAAGTTGTAATGTACCACTTCAGAATCCTTCTGTTTAATTGCTTATTCATCCCAGTCCACAAATGAGCATAGACTTTGCTCTGTTGTTGTAGGTAATTGAACCGAGGAGAAAAAACATAGTAGGCTAACCAGTCAATCACTGCTTATGAAAGAACTGCACTGTTAAACATTATTTCTCACAACACAGAAAAAAACCATCCTGGGTGGTATTGGTCAATCTGTTAGCACTTACCTAGCGTTTTCCAGTTACTCTGTGATTTAGACTTGTGCTATTGTAAACCTTGACAATTGACAAAAAAAGAGAAAAACTATCATTTAGGATATTGAAAAAAAATCGGTAAAGTAAGATGTGCCCCATACTTAAGGAGAGCCATAAAAATCAAAATGTTTTTGAACAGTTTGAATTTAGGATTTACTGTTAATCAACCAAAACAACTGGGAGATTTAGCTCACCTTTTAATTGGAAGTATGAGGACAGAGAGTAAACATATTCACTTTAGTAGCAAGAATACTGCTTCTAAAGAAACTAATATGTTAAAGGAAATATGATTGACTGACAAGTTAGCTTTTGTCCCATTTGAAGCCGATATACATGTATATAAGTCATAATCCACAGGGGGTGTTCAAGGGCAAAAATATAGCTTGTTAGTTTACAGAAGCTAATGAGCATTTTAAAAATATTTGCAGTCTGAAATAAAACCTTAATAATGAGGCTTTGTGTGAGTCTGGTGGTATCTGCTTCAGAAGGACCCTATACAGGTTTCAGAAAAACGTTGCGTATTTAGGTGGGAATGTACTTCAGAGCTGGTTGGAAGACAGGTCACAACTGGAAAAGCCAAAGAAAAGCTTCCATTAACTTCGACTTAGGATTCTTGTTCTTGGAAATCTTCAGCTTCCTAAAATATAAGACAAAAGTTTAATTTGCATAAT